AAACATATGATGTCAGGAAGCTGATAAGTTTTGTATGTGTGTGGGTTACAGGTGTATATATAATTTTGTTAATATATAAAGAGTTGATTACGTTATATTTAAACGATTTTGAATATTCAATTCAGCAAGGCACGTTACACCACAACCGATATAATGTTGCGGTGGAATAACATATATCGCAGAAATATTTTACACTGTTTGATCGCTTTTGGGAAGATTCTATAAACAGACTTTTCCAACACAAAATATCCATATACAAAGATAATAAAAAATATGGTCAGATTGGAGATTTAGAATTTCCACGACGTGTATATCTGTTGTATTTAATGGCATTGGTAAACAAAAGGATATTATTCAATTTGGGGCACCAGGACTATCCAGAAATAGTGTAGAAATTGTGTAGCTTTGTGCTTAACTTCAAACAAACAAACAAAGCTTCAACGACTGTCGAAAAAATTGCAATTCTAGTTTAAAATGGAACATTTATCTGTTTGTTTGTTTTTTGAATTTCGCGCAAAGCTACACGAGGGCTATCTGCGCTAGCCGTCCCTAATTTAGCAGTGCAAGACTAAAGGGAAGGCAGTTAGTCATCACCACCCACCGCCAATTCTTTTACCAACGAATAGTGAGATTGACCGTCACATTATAACGCTCCCATGGCTGAAAGGGCGAGCATGCTCGGTGTGACGGGGATTCGAACTCGCGACCCACGGATTGCGAGTCAAAAAGAGTTTAATTCATGACGAATCCCGAATGATTCAGAAAAGGGAAGGCAGCTAGTCATCACGACCTACCGCCAATTCTTTTACCAACGAATAGTGAGATTGACCATCACATTATAACTCTCCCATGGCTGAAAGGGTGAGCATGTTTGGTGTGACGAGGATTCGAACCCGCAGATTGCGAGTCGAGCGCCCTAACCACCTAGCCATGCGGGCCCTATGTTAATCAAACACCATTTAGTCAAATCACCTAAAATATGCTAATTTGTAACTCGTTCTACTTTACGATTGAACAGTAGATAGCGAAACATTGACTAAGCTAAGACTACAGGTTATTGGTCATTACTGTGTTAAAGTTTTCTCAATTTACGTGTCTTAGACTAAAAACCATGGACGATTTCTTTAGCGTAGAGAATACCTTTATGCGAATATATTTTTGCGTTTTTTTTAAAGTATATATGACTACTGCTGCTTTGGATTAACATCATCATCTCAGTATTTCAGCATACTATCAGTAACCCGAAACCATTATTTAATTTTTCTAGTGCATACTGATGTGTAAAAGCCATTTTAATACTAGAAATAAACGATTTTATAACACTAAGTTACGATCCGTTTTTTAGTGGAACGCTCCTGAAAAGCTGTAAAGCGAAACATTGATTGTCCCATTAAAGAAAAACAAAAAAATTGGTGTTATAATGTCGTTTATTTTTAGTATTAACCTGAAACTATTAAAAAACCTGGTGTACATAAATACAAAGTGAGCAAGAATGAGTTCATAATGCATCTTGATCTCCAACGTTTGTTTCATATGCATAGAAACTTTAGCTATTTACAAATATCTGTCTGCCATTCAGAAGATAAAAACCCCAAAGATGTGTACCTCCGTTTTCTATCAGCTGGAACTATAACAAAGTCACAATCAAGCCGAAGAAGGTCGTAAGGAATAACAAAGCCAAATAAAGCAATAAATCTCAGCTAAATTAGCCAAGGAAGATCATTTATCACCTGTACTCCTTCCAGAGAATTAAAATCAGAATATAAGTCACTTTCGAGTGAATTGCCCATAACACGCCAAAAAGTAGAGTGGGCAAAAATAGTGGGCTCAGCACGTTCAAGAATATCAACAGCTCCTGAATAGTAATGAAGCCTAAATGAGGTATGGTCACCGACTTGGGGGAGTATAGCAGACTGTGTCAAGAAGAAGTCGCTTAACATAATGAAGGTTGTCATCTCCAACCTGAGTTTTAGCACTGGCATATTAGGAATAGGTGTACTAAAGAATTTCAATCAGTTTTGCCTGTGCAACTTGTGTTCAATGGAAGTGTTATTCAATGTTGAGCTGAATGATGAGAGGAACCCAAGACTGCTTTTAGCACTAAAAGGTAGCTTATAAGAGTTCTGTGTAAAACTAAAACACAGATGGTTTCCTGAAAATGCTCATTTTTGGGGTGGGAATTCTGCTTCCTGTCGACATGATATATGCCCCTCTGCCAGGATCAGATGTCCCTCGATGCTCACAAGACTATGTAGAGTGGTTAATGCTGATATGTCTTATGACATATAGTTGTAATCATTCTTCACCAGCTTGTTATTGTATCAAACGTCTTACACATATAGTGTTCGGATCATTGCTGTGTTTGTTGTATCCAAGCTGGTCTCAAGAGCCCAGGATTGAGCAAACCGCGTCCTCGGCAATGGATATGATAAATAAATTGTGGTTGAAATACTATTATTATTCACTCTTCTAATCCTTCAAAGTTCCGAACATTGGTTTAAAACAAATCAACGAATGAAAAGGCATTGTGACCCTTACTTTCTATTCTGAAATGTCATTGACGTTTTGAAAATAATCACTCACGTGATCTCGCCAAATGGTGAGAACTTCATGGAGCAACCTCGTCCTCAGAAGATTCTCATGCGTGACACTTCTACTTGCAGTGCTCGAGTTGCGTTGTCTTTTTCATTAGTAATAGTACAAGTAGGAAAGGTTTCCTATAGCATGCATTATCTATGTTCTTATTTTAATGATGAAATACATTTTTGTTCATTGTGATACGCTCAGTTTTAATATAACATATGGTCAAGGAAGTCGTTAAATTGCTTTTGTTCTAGCTACCTTTGTAGTTTGTCATCCCTTGGGGATAGCACACGGTCTGCTCACGAGATTTAACTGTAAAACTGCGTCTTATGCATGAAAATCGATAGCAGTGCTCGTTAATAATAGGTCAGATAATGTTTAAAGGTTAAAACCTCCTTCATATTTAAATGGGAATGATCAGTCACATAGGTAGCACTAGTTGTTCTAGGTCAGTCTGATGCTACTGAATCAAACAAGTAATGCAAGGTTTAGTTAGTCTGAAGTATTATCTTGAGTGAGTCAGTCAACTTAGAAACAAGTCTTGAGGATGTATAACAAGACCGATTGATCCATCTCTGCAGCAAAGGTAACTGTTCGTCGTTGGAATTTGATGTATGCTCACTGTTGCTTTGAGCTATTTTAACAGATTGTGTCATCTTGTATTATACATTGCCCAGTCCATTTGTTCCTCGGCAAAGACTCAGTTCACATTGTAGTATATCTTTCTGAACCTACTATAATAAAGATAATCTACCTGAAACACTCGCAGGAAATTGATCTCAAATGATATCACAACATAGCCAATTTGGCCAGAATATGGTTAATAGCTTAAGGACAATACACTCCATGCTATTAACGATACAATTCAGCAGGATGTAGAGGTGTGTTGTCCACCGATACACATTCCAGCATAGCCGTGTGCTGCACGTTCCTGCAATAAGATAAGGCGAATCTGTTTCAAATTCTCTACAAACTAATACAAGCTAATTATCTAGCTGCAGGGTAGAAGCGGGACTCATAATTTAAAGGAATATTTCACCACATTGTTGGTCCACAGGAAGTGTTCTTGGCACCATTGCAGACTAGTTATTTTGTTTTGCTACGATCGGAATGAAACTCATTAGTTGTCCGACAATGGAATCAATCCTTGTGTAGTACGTTTCTAACTATCTATACAGTGACAATACACACAGTTGCGTTTGTGAAAAGCTAATTCAATGTCAAGGCTGAACCTTGTAAATGTGGCGAGCCCAAATCCACAGATATCAGTCCGAACCAAAATATCACTGGATTGCAAACAGTTTCATATTTTTGGGATTGGTTGTGGTTACTTGACACGAGTAAAATACTTATCTGGAATCCAGTTTTTTTTTTTTTAATTACAATGTAGAATATTTTTATCAGTACAAAGACGATTGAAAAAGATTATACGAGACTACTGTATAGGTTGAATGACCCATCTTTTGGATTTGATATCGCATGGCTTGATGTTAGTGTCTCATTCTTATGAGACAATGAAAAATATTCATCATTAACCACTGATCCAAACAAGCTCTCTACATATATCAGAACTAACATTTAACTCTGTACATATTCTGGTTAATTCATTAAAATTAACGTAACTAGTTTATTTTTGAAGTCAAGATCTGCTTTCCGATTAGTTAAATCTGGTTTCATACCCACCTATATTAGTGTTCTTGTTCACAAGATTGGATAAGCAGATAACAAAAAAACGATTGTATTTCACCATTAATACAAATCTTTGCTAAGTTAAATTCAATATAGATTCCTTACATTCAAGGGTTTTAGACACTATCACGACACCCTAATGTAGATTACTTATCAACATGTCCAAAATGTAAGGCCACAACGTTCTACTTGATCGTATAAAGATTAAAAATAACATTTTGAAGTGTGCGTGTACAGAAAATAAACAACTGAAATAATGTTACTGTATAATTAATCTTTGAGAAGTTTGAATGTCTAAAGACGGACCTTAATGTAAATGTCTTTGATATAACTTTCGTCTGTTTTGGAATCTAGGTGCGCGTACGAAGAAATGCCTTTGTGGAGCAGAAATGCCGCAAGTACGTGTGTGCAAACTGATATAAGCTACGATTACTGCAAGAACATTATATGTCATAAACAAAGTCAGCCATTAACTTACTAGAGAACTTGCACGTAATTTGAGTGCATTGCATGAAAAGTAGCAACTAGTACTGGATTCCAGCATTAAGTTGGAGTTTTATTTCCGTCATGAACTGGTAGTGAATAAATAACACTAGTAACTGGTTAGAAAAGACTACAAATGAATACTAGACTAAGCTTGAACTTGAAGGTAAGATACAACACAATTTCTTAGGAAGCAAACAAAATTATGAATTTTACATCAAAAAATAATGAACGTTTTAAAATTTAGTGGAAACTATAAATTAGCCTTCCTCAAGAAGCTCTTCTTCATCAAACTCTCCTTCATCTTCAGCAGTGGCTTCCTGGTATTGTTGGTACTCAGAAACCAAGTCATTCATGTTGGATTCAGCTTCTGTGAACTCCATCTCATCCATTCCTTCACCAGTATACCAATGCAAGAAAGCCTTACGTCGAAACATAGCTATAAATATGGAAAACAATATTCAAGAAAAACCTATTTTATTCGGGAATTAACTTTACCAGTATTCAAATCTATTATCTAACTTGTAGAAAATAATATGTATTAAAAGAAAAGGTTCATTTAATCATTGTTATGTAGCTTATGTTGCCCTCCGATATTGTTTTCACAAGTGTAGTAAGATGATGTATAATTCAAAGTTTTAATTTCAATACAAAAGAAGTCTCGCAGTAAATATAAAAGATTAAACTTTTACAGCTTTATAAAAAGGAGAAAAAACATTAAAGAAGACTATGTTCCACATTCAGTCTGGGAATAAAGAAAAATTTCCAAATTTAAATCCAATAGAATATACTTTAAACAAGTTAAAATAAGTACCTGTAAACTGTTCCGAGATTCTTTTGAAGATTTCCTGGATGGCAGTGCTATTTCCAATGAAAGTGGCACTCATCTTCAACCCCCGAGGAGGAATGTCACACACTGCTGTTTTAACATTATTGGGAATCCATTCCACAAAGTAACTGCTGTTCTTATTCTGAACATTCATCATCTGTTCATCTACTTCTTTCATGCTCATGCGTCCACGGAAGATTGCGGCTACAGTCAGGTAGCGACCATGACGAGGATCACAAGCTGCCATCATGTTTTTGGCATCAAACATCTGCTGAGTTAGTTCTGGGACTGATAGTGCTCTGTACTGCTGGCTTCCTCTGGAAGTAAGTGGAGCAAAGCCTGGCATGAAGAAATGGAGACGAGGGAATGGAACCATGTTCACAGCAAGTTTTCTAAGATCTGCATTCAGCTGGCCAGGAAACCTTAGACAAGTGGTGACTCCAGACATTGTAACAGAGACAAGATGATTGAGGTCACCATAGGTTGGAGTGGTCAACTTGAGGGTGCGGAAACAAATATCATATAGAGCTTCGTTATCTATGCAGTAAGTTTCATCTGTATTTTCTACAAGTTGGTGAACAGAAAGTGTAGCATTGTATGGTTCTACAACTGTGTCAGATACCTAGGATGAAAGAAATGCATAGTTTGTAAAACATTTTCAGAGAACATTAGTCACTGTTATAAAATTTCACATTCACCAGTATAAAAGATTCACAGATGAGAAGCATGATGGTATGAGTTTAAACTAACCTTTGGTGATGGCATAACACTGAAGGTATTCATGATCCTATCAGGATATTCCTCTCGTACTTTTGAGATTAAAAGAGTTCCCATTCCAGATCCAGTTCCTCCACCAAGAGAATGAGCCAACTGGAAACCCTGAAGACAATCACAGCTTTCAGATTCCTTCCTGACAACATCTAACACTGTATCTACTAGTTCTGCACCTTCTGTATAGTGTCCCTTAGCCCAGTTGTTTCCTGCTCCACTCTGACCTGATAGGAGTACCATTTATTAGAAAAATACTAATTTCACAAATAAAATAAAAACTTATATATAATAATTTTAATAGAAAAATATTTAAGTTTAGAAAGTTAACAAATTGCTTGGTTTAGTTGTTATGAATTAATTACAACACTCACACCATATACAGAGTTCATACACCTATGCTGTGAAGTTAGAATGAAGAATTTTTACAAAAATCAAAATAAATACACACACACACAAAAACAAAATGGATGACAACAATAAAAAAAAAAAAATTATCACATGACACCTTTTAAAACTAACCAAAAACAAAGTTGTCTGGTCTAAAAAGCTGGCCGAAAGGTCCTGATCTTACAGAATCCATGGTTCCAGGTTCCAAGTCGAGAAGAATGGCACGGGGAACATATTTGCCACCTATACAAATAAAAGTTATTGCATATCTGTTAAAATTCTTTTAATAATAACCAACAATTTAGTGCTTCATGGAATAAAATCAATATAATGGGTTAAATAAAACACCGATTTTGTATCAACTGGTCTTATGAAATTTTATGTTTAGTTAAACATACATTTCTGAGCTTTCATAATGCAGAAATAGATAACATTAAGAGTAGGTAGTGTATAACGGAAGTAAATTAACTGACACTGGGTGCATCTTTTGCATCATATTCAAAAGCTACTGTTACTAACAGTTAATATGTAAGCTACATATATATGTTTAATAAATTATGTTTGTTACATATACATACATAATATAGCACTAATCTAACCTGAAATAAACAGCAACGAAGAAAAAGAAAATTAATGTATTTAATAAAATTCATCCTTAAAATTATACAACACGGGTTTATCCAGTGCGGTCTACAGTGACATCATTACATAAATCCTTATATGGTAGTCTAAGCGACCACGATGCTGATGACACGATAGCAACACATGGAAACTAACCGGTCCTTAAAAGATGGCGACAACACCCAGTTAAACATAATACTTTAAGTCGAGCACGTGCGCTCCTCCTCCTACGTAAGCTAGGACATGAAAATATACTGTTCTAACCTTGTTAAAATATGTTTACTTTTTTGGTATAATGAATATCTGTGTTGAAGCTGAAACTTTTTGTAAAAGCAAAGTCCTTTACGCTGAATATTAAACGAATGTAGAATTATCTCGAAATTAAGGAAATACAGTTTCAACACACATTACAGCACTAACAAATATATTACATATTTCCTTGTGCATTTGTCTTCCTAGATCGTACATTGAATAAGGTGAGTGAATCATTACCGATCCTTTCTCTACACCACTTCACTTAATAGGTGAGATTCGCAATAGCATTATACCAATATGATAGTTTCTATAGAATTTACTGTTTATACAAATACACAATTCGGAGTAGCAATGGTGAAAACACAAAGAATTGGTAACTATACTCAACTTTAACCTATAATTATAGCTAAATTGTGCATAATCAAACAGATAACTTTTGCAACAAATCTAAAACGGGAGGACTGAATATGTTAAAACAAATTTTTATAAAGAATAAAATATATATATACCACATGAGCCCAATACACACACGCACACTAAATACCAATAACTAACTACTCGAAATGTTGCTAATTTCAATGCAAAACGATATTCAACTATTTCGGAACGTCCACAAGTTATTTAGATATTTGTTTTTATTTTACAACGTGAGTGATATTTATCACTACAGTACTGATGACAATGTATACAAAATTTACTTAGGAAAAGAAAAACAGAGACTCCATAATAAACCCCAATCTATAAAATAAAATAAGCAGGAAGTAAGATGTTACTACTGCTACTAGGTAAGTTAGCATTAAATTCCAAACTCGTTCATCTATGCAAAGTGAGTTCCATAACTACCACAGTGCAGCGAATTTTAAGACATACACAAAATAAACAGCATTGTTATCAATATAGTTATAATTACCTCACCTTCTTGCAATGGCTTTAAGTTTTCTTTCACATTTGCTTAATCAAACTAAAATGTTAAAATTGAAAATATAAATAATATTATTATTTTTCACTGTGTCTTGTGAACTATACGCTTAGTGCTATTTTAAACTCATTAAAGTAATAACATTATTATTAAAGAACGTCATTCACTCCGCACCAAATTTACGAACAATATTTTTAATATACCTGAGGCTTCATTGTAGTACACGTTGATTCTTTCCAATTGCAAGTCCGAGTCACCATGGTAGGTACCCGTAGGGTCAATGCCGTGTTCATCAGAAATCACCTCCCAGAACTGCGAGTGAAAGACAAGTTAGTTACTGTGAGATGGTTATACTGGACATATAAATGACGTTGATTCTCTGGTTGGGTCATTATACAAATTAACGAGATAAGGGTTAGAACAGAAATAAAAAGCATCTGAATTGACACAAAACTAGGGGAAAGAAACATTTTGAGTTCTTTTGCATCATATGATACTATGTAACGTTACTGTGTTGGAAATGTAGACTATTTGAAAAATTGTTAATTATGTTATATCGAGCATATATTTCATAGTCTCTTCTCTTTGCTATGTATTTCAGTTTTATTGTATTTCTTAAAGCGTCCCCTTACACCCAACGTAAACTTAATAGCCACCCACCTAGTATGATTTTGCAGTACGATTCAACCCACAATGGTTCATACCTTAGTTCAGAAAAAAAAAATGTGTTTTTACTTTTAATAAACAAATAAAACTTTAGGAAATTTAAAATACACTCGAAGTTGATGTACGCAAATCTTAAATTAAATCATGAGTTGCTTAATATTAATGTAACTCGGACTTTAAATCAGATGCAACGTAAAAAAGTGCATGTTCAATACATGGTTATAGAACTCTGGTGGTGGTTTCACTTCTGTTTCTTTGTGTTTGTCTAGATAAGCACAGCTGACATTGAAAAGTACAGTATTATATTATTTGCTTTGTGAGACCTTGGGCTTTTTAACAAATGAAAGCCTAACGACTAGTAGAAGTAATGTTTCTCAGAAAAACGGAAATGAACAAGTCTAATTAATATTAAATGTTAACAACGTATTGAAAAATTTCGAAGTTCACCGCTTTATATTTATCGCGTAATAAAAGTTTTAAGCATACGGGATTATGCAGCGACTTTCCACTAGGGGGCCAATATGCTAACTGAAGTATCTCTATACTTAATGCGCATGTCCAGGCCACTCCTTGGTTTACCTCAAATGAATCACTGCATCATAATGCTATCTGCTCGTTACCCGAGCTCGTAATTCTGCAATTACTGTACTGTGCCAGACATTTTTATAATCTTACTGCAATGTTGGTTTGAAATAATACTTACTACCAAAATATCTTTAATAAAAAATATTAATTAAAAAATTCATCGATTACACTAAGTACTATAGTATATCATCAGTATATATGTTTGCGTTAACGCAAATATTATTGGCATATATTCTGCAAAGCAAAATATTATTTCTTATTACTGACATATGAAGTATTTATTTGATAATCCCTCACCCAGGTCCATATTTAATGTTGTAAAGTACATCATCGGTTAATATGTTGAAGCAGTGACGATCATAAAAAGCTTAAACTAAACATATAATAATATTTAGGAAATCTAAAGACAACCGACTTATGAACTAGCCAATGGCGAAACAGATATCTAATACTTTCTGCTGAAAACAACCAATAGGAGATGAGGTATCGTGTTTCATAGTCAAATATAGAAGGAAGGATAAACGGCCATGGAAGGAGAATATGGCGTTGAGCTAAATTGTACATTACCTTTGTTTAGTAGGGTAAGCATAATATATTTTAACTTGGGTTAAGATAATTAGAGCATTGGTTACCGATTACAGTATGCTCCATATCAATGTAGTGTAGAATATTCAAAATGTTAATAACCAATAATTTTATTTACTTCGATATTTTTAGCGTAATTTTAATTAATGAATAAACATAACATTATAAAACCGGTTTTAATTCCAGTTTCTACAGACTACAGTAACGAAATGTTATGTAATATTTTTTTTATCAAGTGATAATCATTTTGTCACTCTCGCATTTTTAAAAACATTTTAAGAAATTTTGGGCGTATATATATTCTAACCTCTTTTTTAAGATAACGTTTATACTTTATAGCAAAGTTTTAAACATTTTTTTATGCAATAAGCAGCTATATAATAATTAATAAATAGTAAATACACACTGATATATATAATGCATATAATATATGTCAGGAATTACCGAAAAGAGCCTTTTATTACAACATAAAACTTTTACAAGTTAAAACACAAGCTTACCATTACCTATACACACACACACTACTCATTACTGAACTTCTATGTTTAAAACTAGTAAACCTAAAGTAAAAGTTGTGAAAAGCTAAACTAAAGATTTCACTGTTTGAAATTGAGCTTTGAAATGAACGTCTGTATCGGCGGAAGGTATGAAAGTTGAAACGTGAAATACAGTAATATAAACTACTGAAACAAAATATTTTATCGTGCTAAATTACAGAGCAAAAAACAAATATAATTTTAAAAAAGTTTTTACCTTTGCTCCAATTTGATTGCCACATTGACCGGCCTGAACGTGCACGATTTCTCGCATATTGGTTTTTTTTTCTTTTACGATTATATGCTCCCGTACGTTCTATCTCGTCTTTTCGAGAAGGAATATGGCGAAAACGAGCAATGCTTCGGATTTAATGTAGCTACTAGACTATGACTGCGCATGTGCATTTATGTGTGATTGGTTAAAACTAGCCTCGTGACCTACAGATTTTGGCGGAGAAAAACAAAGAACTATATAACGCTATGGCGCCGAGACACGCATGTGCATCAGAAACTACCCTAGGGCGTTTCCTGATCTTATTGCGTAGCATATTATGCAGCCTTCTATCTCGAACTACAGACTGTAGTCGTGTCAAATTAAGTACTTTTGTAGGCAGTAAGTGTATTTTTTCCAAAGTTAAATATCCAAAGGAAAGTTATAACAATAAAGTAATATGGAATGTCGTGACAAAACAAAAAAAACAAACAAACACATACAGTGGTTTTAAATTTTCAGCATTTAAGAAACAAGGAAGAAGAGATGCGAAGATTAACACTAGTTTTGTGTTATAAATATCTGTAACCGTGAAATAAATTATAAATCAATACCACGTTTGTCTTTGAGTCTTTTAAGAGAGAGTTGTGTGAATACATTTATATATGTATATGACAAATCTCTCCAGTTCTCTAAACAGACAGTCGATACACAGCAATTTCAGATATACAATAACTTTTGAATAATACGTTATCAAATTTATAAGTGCTAGTTGAAAGGAATTATTTTCTGAAACTATTCATAAACGAAGCAATATATATATAGCAGACTACTTCCCCATCTCAACCTGACAAAAGAAAATAATTATGTTTTAATAAGAGAGAAAACAGTTTCTATATAATGTCAAATCATATGTATCTGATGGACTTCAGCTTTGTGTCTTTTGATTTTGGTGGATAATGATAATGGTAATTTTGTACCGTGATGTCATGCTGCAGTAAAATTAAATTGCTCTAAATAATTAAGGAATAATTGGAGTCTTACATATTCTACTTATGGTACAAAACACAAATACTGTTAGTAAATAATATCAGATCACTAACCATATGACCTGAATTATAAATCCATGTCCTCAAATTTTCATCTGGTGTTTGAGAAAACGTTTATTTGATAAGGTATTCAAATAATCTCGGACATCAATGTAAATCGTACATCGATATGGCATACTTAAAATAAGCGAATCAGTGAGCAAATGGAGTAATATCACACACTCCTCTGTACTGGATGCTTCTAGTTCATCAATACTGCTTACTGGCGAATAGCATGCTACCAAACGTCTTTCCAAAGCATCCCATTTATGTACATTTAGAGTGGCTTGTATATTATAAATAAAAGAACCATTTCATGTTGACGTGATATTAGTACTCGACACAATGTATAAACGATTGCAATGAATAATAACTTACTGCTTCTTAGAAATGAATTTAAAGCTTATGTTGATTTTTTAAATCGTTTATTTTATAACTGATGATGGCTCCTCACAAAGAATAATCGGTGTATTGGTGAACTGTGAAACATAAGCGCCTCCTTAGAATAACTTTTGTACATTATACATGTAAATATCTTTAAAAAAACGGGTCAGACAACTAAATTGTAGTATGATCGAAAATGCTTGAAAAAGATATTATTTATGATTTGAAAACATTTTTTTTTTGAAATTCAAAAAACTTTGTGATTCTCATGTACTTCATGATACTCAGCAGCAAAACCAAATCATTGAAGTTTGTGCACTTTTGGGCCTTAAGGATGACCAAACCACTAAAGCTCGAGAATTATGGAACTCATATAAAAAAGTCAGTCCTCTACTTATGAAAATTTAGTGTTAAATTTAACAGGTTATCTCTCACACAATAGAAAGTACCGAAAAGCCATGTATAAATCACTTAGGGTATACGTATAATCAATCCGATATCTCGCACAAACAAAAATGAACTTCACATTTTGATTTGTCAAGTTTTTAAAATTTAAAACTATGCTTTATCATATTGCTTTTATATCTTTTTTGTATTGAAAGACAGCCTTTCTGTTTTCATAACTATCAAAATGATTAAAAAAGTTTTGCCAATACAGTTTTAACACCATGTATAAACCAATAAACATTCTAGTAACAATTAGTTGCTACAACATTGCGTTGCACTATTAAAGCAGTTTGTACTTTAATTAAGAACTTTAAAGTTGGATGCTCCAATTCATATAATTGGAAAAGCAAACAAAAAACGCCCAGTCACTATATCTCTAAGATATTTAACAAATGTGGTAAACATATGTTGTCCCAAATGTAGATGAAGTAATGATGAAAGAAAATAACATAAATGCTAAAATGAGTGAATTTGTGGATATTCTGGAAATTCCTTTTTGGTTCTATTTTTGTCCTGCCAGCTTTCAGAAATTTGTTATCTAATTGTTTTAAAACGCATTTATTTTAAGTAAAGTTTAAGAAGTGTTACAATAATAATTATCTGAATAAATTAAAAGTGCATTGTTAGTACAAGATCATTACATGCAGCATTTTTCCTTTAGGTAAGACTAGCTCATGTTACAAATCGATGTTTTGTTTCTGGATTTTTTCTTTGTTTCCTTAGCTTTACTGTGAGAAGAATCGAATCGTATCACCCCATGATTTCCGAAATGTATCTGGATAAAATAGATGTTAAAACGATATCATTATGTAGTTTTTAATTATATTAATGATGTTCTTCTGCTCTTTCACTATATACATTTAAATGACTGAAGTTCAGCAAATGTATATTGTATTAGTAATGCTTTAGAAGACTATGTTTCAGTACATCATAAAATCTCGTCCCTAAAAGCTAGCATTTTTTAGTTTGCACCAATGTGTTAGGGACTAATAAGTTCAAGCAGATAAACCTGATTATTCGGAATCAGTAAAAGCTTTATCTAATGATTTTTGAAACGTAACACTGTGGTAAATATACAAAATGCCCACAAAATAGTGTGACTCGTTTTGATTATAATACATATGCATATTTTTACGCATTTAATCATTAAGGTGTCTTTGCATCTTTTAGATAGGATATTCTCCTATTCTTTACAATTGAAATCATACCTGTATATTTCTGTCTTGAACAGCTTTAAGCGTCACAAGATCTGACATGTTACATTTTCTTATATTTTACACTTTCTAATCATTTTTGATATGTTTTGCCCTTTTCAAGTACATTAGATATTGAACATGTAGTTGATATAAAAATGATATCAAATTAATGTACCAGTTTTTTGTTCCTGACTAACTGAGCATAATATCTAGATAAATGAATAGATAAATTCTATAACTCCAACAAGCGATTTATCGGAGTAAAGTTTTCTGTTTTGTTTCACAGAATTATGTTGCCTGAACGTCTAAACGAATGGCTAGATATTTTCGTGAGTTGAAAAGGCTTCAGTCCGTGTTAGCTCAGCCATATCGTAAATTGCATTTATTTTATGTTGATATATATTTTCATTAATATTAATTTACGTTGTGCGTGAATTTGTCTGTATGTCCTACGAACTTCTCCCACGGTTTTGGAGCTAGCAGGAAAAAAAAATGAATCTGGCATTAGATTTTTGAAACTGTGTTCGTACTTTACTCTCAGTCCGCAAGACTCAGGTTCCACAGGAGGAAGTCCTAACGGGGATTTTTTTGTCAGATATAGACCTCCCCCTCTCATGTGGTAATAATAGAAGTAAATGGGGACAATAGAGGGTATTTTATGCTAGTGTAAACTACTTTTCGATTAATTTTTTTTTACAGTAAATGTGAATACAAATTGAGTAATTGCAAGCTGTCCAATAGTATTTTGTTTTGAATGTTTGTTTAACAGAGAATATCTCCGACAAAATCAAAATTCTATGTGAAGACTGACAGCACCCATCTATGTTGGTGGTACATACACAAACAGAAATTCCTCCCCTCCAAAGCAGTCGAGTCTATATAGGCCTTGGGTTACGTCAACCAGGGTAGATGTTCTATTTATCTAGTTTGGTTGTGTACGTGTTCTTCTGAGTATGACTCATCTAATAGATGGCAGACTGTCTGACTCCCATATGGTCAGTCAACCCACTTAGCTAAGCCATCTCAGAAATTGAATTATGATAAAACTGGAAGGAAATTTAAATGCATTTATTGCACAAATACATACTAGTAAATTTACTAAATACACATTTTTGGAATATATTAAAAAATTACGTTCTTTGTAAATAATTTTCCTATGTGGAAAAAAAATGTCATTAAGCCTACACTTGCGTAACAAACGAATTTATAGCATTACTACATAAACAAAATTTTGATAATTTTGAAAGATAATGATCATCTTCTAATAGTTTTCTCATATAGAAGAAACTGTCATTCAAAATGTGGAACACACTAAAACAGTTCTTTATATTAATTACTAAATTTTGTTCTGAATAAAATATACATTGGTCAGGTCATTCGAAATTTGATTATGTACAAATTTGGAAGTGACTAGCTAATTAATAACTAGAAATAATGTATTTTATTAGCTATGATAATTTTACTCGTAACAAGAGAACATATAAGTTAATGTAAAATTTTCTTGAAATATGATTGTAAAGACAGGTCAAATAAACTGAGCATCAATTATGCTGGTATGTTAAATTTGTAATATAGTGTTTTTCTCGATCACTAACAAAAAAATTTCCTCCTCGAAGAAAAAAAATAGCCACAGTTAATTTCAAATGAATTATATCAAAATTCATAAGTAACATAAGTTCCTGTAAAAAAATGACAGGTCGTACCCCTAATGGATAGCGTGTTGGGAAGCGGGTCTAATGGACCAGAATTTGAGACGTGATACTGCTGAATATGCTCAACACATTCAGCTGTGTATCCACTATAAAAGTAACAGTCAATTCCATTATTCGACTGAAAGAGCCAGACAAAGCCATGTAGTGTCTGGTGCTGTTGTTTGGTTGCCCTCACCATAGTCAGTAGTTTCGGAGTATGGGATAGTTATACCTGTCACTCAAGGTATCTCTGACTTGGCCGCCTAGTCCGCATGCCTTAAATGTGCTATGAAGGTTAAAATTACAGTTCTTTTAAAAGTATTATCACTTGTGAGATAAATGCATAACTGGGCAAATTAAATTTTACATATATGTATGTATGAGTATATATATGTATATATTTGAATAGTTTACTATATCTAAAATAAGAATATAAAAGCAAAAAATGAATTGATCTTTGTAAAACTTAAACTGAAATCCTATTGCAGTATCCCACAATCATTAGATGACTTACGGCAACATATTTGTTTGTTTGTTGTAAAACATAACTCTACACAATGCTGTGCCCACAACGGGTATCTAAACCAGGTTTTTAGCAATATAAGCCTTTAGGCTTACCGTTGAGCCACTGAGGGGCCAAATTAGATTATAACCATACAGAGAAGATCCCCAAGTTGTAACAACTTAGATTTACTTTCCCTGCTCCAGGGTGTGGACAAAGACAAGTAAGATTAAATAATAATAACACATAATATTTTATTATTGATTCTTACTTTTAACCTGATTTGTAAAACAGTTACACAAAAGTGATAAAAATTACACTTCATCAACTTAATCTAGTTCATTCTATAACAACTGTTGTTCATGCAATTTGATAATATAAGTACCGTTTCAACCATTGTTGTTTATGTCCTATCCTAGCCAGCCTGATGAGTCCTGGTATTCGATGAGAGACATCTTAGGAATTGGATATATAAGACATAGTGTGTTTTACATATTGTCATACATTTTTCTTCACTATCTCTCTTAAGTTATTCGCATTTACCTAAGCAATAGGATCATCTCATGTTTGTTTTTGATCTTTTGACATCCAATTTACAAAGATGTCAAAACTACATGCAGAACAACACAAATGAAAATTTATAAAAATTATCTAAATATACCTTATGTATTTTATTCTTAAATGATTTTGAATATGCCAATTAGCAAGTCATGTGGCATATAAAGGACTAAATTTTGACACTGCTTGGCGTTATGTATGTATTGAGATGCCAGCAAAAACTGATCACTTTTGAGAAGGGCATGTAACAGCCAAAATACATTGCAAGATAATTTACTAATATCATACAATTGTGATTAGATTGGGTATTTAAAATTTCAAAGATGGAAAAAATCCTTATTACTTTATGACATTAGAAAACAAAGGAATATGGATCAACTTTGAGAATCAGAACGATTCAAACAATTGTATCCCAGTTGTGATAACAAGTGAGAATCCAAAAACACAAAGGTCAGTGGCAAAAGTCATCCACGTGCCCTAGTCTACAGTAAGCAACATGATAAAGTAGAATATTTGTCTGGAACAGCAACACAAGTTGAATATATATATATATATTGAGCTACTGATTTACAACTACTGCCATGTTGGCAGTGCGTCTACAATGCATTGGGCTGAGGAGTTGAGATTTTTAGGTGGTTCCCAGTTGTTCTTTTATGAGTGCAATTCACATGATTAATAGCTCCTTTAACAAGTCAATTTTAAAACTCCCAAATCAACTCAACTTGTAGTCAAAAGGTTTGGCTAGCAATGTAAGGTTAAACGTTACAACAACTAGGAACTAGGCCAAAACCCAATTCTTTCTTGGAATAAGTCATCCTCTACTCTTAATTAATTATACAAATGCCAGATATTGAGTGCATCAGCACTACCTTCACCAGATTGGAATGGATGTATGCTACTTTGCTGTACAGCTAGCTTTAATCCTCCCAATATTCCTATTGGTCATTAGAATGTAAGAGCTAATCTTCGACACCCCATCTCTACCAACTATGCAACAAAGAAACTCCACTTCTGTGTGCATGAGTGCAAACTTTTCAGGTATCAATTTCAAGTCTATACAGTTGGTGTACTGAAATACCTTCTCATATTCTAAATTGTGGTCAAAAATGTATATCATTCACATAGATGAGGCATCTCTCCCATTGTTATCCCCTCAGTGTAAGTTCCATCAACCTCTCAAAAGTGGCGGGTTCATTACCTTCTCCAAATGGCATGACATAGAATTCATACAGTTCTTCTGCTGAAAGTAGTCTTTGGTCTACTATAATTTTCCGGTGAAATGTGTGTTAGAAGCCATATCTAGTGTATTGAACCAACAGGGATCTTTCAACACATCTAGATATTCATCTCTGCATGCCAGTACAAAGATGTCAATGTGAGCTCACCAATCTTCAAATCTGCTGGCCTGGATGGGTCTTCCACT